AAAAAAAAAAAAAAAAAAGGTGGGGAAAGCAATGCGATATATTTAGTACCTTATTATATTTCCCTTCCATGGACAAAGGAAGATAAATAGATTTCAATTCTGATGCCAATTTTATTTTTAACTCTCATGAATAATTGTATTTGCTATGGATGAAGCAATAATAACATCAGTATAAATTAAGATCTCTGTCACTGATTAAAATAAAATGAAAGTGCAAATAAGATTGTTTTTCATTAAATAGAAAATACCAATTTTGAAATATTAAAAATTCTGTATCATATTGTTATCAGGGCTGCATATTTGGGGATTATTTTTATGGATTGGTAGTAACATAAACAGCCATATTGATTTCCCAATTCTGACAAGATAAAACTCATTATACTGAAAAGGCTTTCCTGGCCAGGTGCAGTGGCTCACACCTGCAACCCTAGCACTTTAGGAGGCCCAGGCAGGCGGACTGCTTGAGCCCAGGAGTTTGAAACCAGCCTGAATAACATGGTAAAACTGCATCTCTACAGAAAATTAGCCAGGCATGGTGGTGCACACCTGTAGTCCCAGCTATTCAGGAGGCTGAGGTGGGAGAGTCACCTGAGCCTGGGATGTTGAGGTTGGAGTGAGCCATGATCACGCCACTACACTCCATCCTGGGGGACAGAGTGAGACTCCATCTCCAAAAACAAAAAGGCTTTCCCAATAATAAGGTAATAAAGCTGTACTAGAATTATTAAAATTTATTTATTTATTGAGATGGAGTCTTGCTCTGTTGCCCCAGCTAGAGTGCAGTGGCACAATCTCGGCTCACTGCAACCTCCACTTCCCAGGTTCAAATAATTCTCCTGGCAACAGAGCAAGATTCTGCCTTTAAAAAAAAAAAAAAAAAAAATACAGCAGGCAAGAAGGAAGGCAGGGAGACCAGACAGGAGGCTTCTGCAGTGGGGCAGGCAGGAAACAGTGAAGGCCTGCAGTGGGGAGCAGTAGCTGGGTGGAGAGGAAAGGCTTGGCAACTGAATAGACATGGGAAGGTGATGAGAGGGTGGCGCCTATTGCTAACTTGGGGACCTGGTGGTGCCATTCACTGAGATTGGGAACTTCAGAGGAGGGGCAGGTTGGAGAAGACAAATTTCCCCTGTTCTGAGCAGGGGGAATTTGAGGTGCATCCTAGGGAACCCGTAGATGGAAATGTGTGACAGGCAATGGGACGGATGGGTCAGATGCAAGGGAAGGAGGGGAAGTGGGACCTTGAGATCTGGGAGCCATCAGCACAGAATTGAACCCTAGAGTGTGGGAGGAGACACAGCCACCTGGGAAAGGAAAAGGTAGAGGGAGAAGAAAAGGCCAGCAGAGGGTCTGCACAAGTAGACAGACCCAACAGTCCTCTCCAGCCACTGGCAGAACCTCAGGTCAAACACAGACACACACATGACCTAAATTTGTACATTTCAGATCTACCATGCCATAATCAACCTCATAAAATTAAGCTAACAGAGGGTCCAGCACATATAAATATTCCCACTTCTCCCTCCAAATTTTCTTTCTCCTTTCCTGTCCTCACATCCCTTGTTCACAGAATTTCAAAGTTAAATTATGTCTTAAAGGTCATCCAGCAAACCCTCTGACCAAACCAGTTTACACGTTCCCCTGGAAAGGTAACTTGTACAGGCTCATCTCCATCTCTGACCTGTCTATGCCCACCTTCTTCCTCCAGGCTCAGCTCCAGGCACACAGTCATGCCTGCCTCCCCACAAACTCTCGGCATGCCTGCAATCATTCTCCTCAACAAGCTTCTGTGCACCTGCTATGCAGCATGTTCTGCTTTATAGTGTTATTTTTCTCTATTTTATGTTTGCTTCCTGTGTCCAAATAGACTCGTTATAATAAGAGTATTAGCTACCATTTATTGAACACTTACTATGTGTCAGGCTTTGCTTTTTATACATTCTCTGATTTAGTTGTCACAGTAACCCACCAAGTTATTATCTATTATTATTACTATTATTCTATTATTATAACTATCATTCTCCCCCATTTACCAAAGGGAAAACTGATGCACAGAAAGGTTGTGTAACTTAACAAAAACCCAGAAGAGGCCCATTCAATATTTAAGCCTAGAGAGTCTAACATCAGTATGTCAAACTGCCAGCTTACACATTCTTATCACTTTGCGTTTTCACTACCTTGCCCACAACAAATGCTTTTTTTTTTTTTTTTTAGGCAGAGTCTCACTGTCGCCCAGGCTGGAGTGCAGTGGCATGATCTCGGCTCACTGCAACCTCCACCTCTTGGGTTCAAGCGATTCTTGTTCCTTGTCCTCCTGGGTAGCTGGGATTACAGGCATGGGCCACCATACCCTGTTAATGTTTGTATGTTTAGTAAAGACAGGGTTTCACGTTAGCCAGGATGGTCTCGAACTCCTGACCTCAGATGATCTGCCCGCCTCAGCCCCCCAAAGTGCTGGGATCACAGGCGTGAGCAACCAGGCCCACCTAACATGCTTATTCTTAATTATATTACTGATACAAACTTATAGAATATTAGAGTTGAAGAGATTTTCAAGCTCATCTGTTATTTTATAGATAAGGAAGCCAAGACCCAGTAAGACTGATTAACTGCTACAGTCTTTCTGAGGCTTAATTTGTGAGTGACCAAAACCTCTACATAGAGTACACAAACCCAGGAGGAGAAATAAGTGTAATGTGTTTCCAGTCACATGAAAGACCCTCAAACTTGAATGCCAGCTGGATCCTCCCGCCCCAGCCCCACCCTTTTTTCTGTCCAGGTGGATAAGGTTCAGACTCCAGAGCCAGAATCACAGGGGTTTGAATTCTCAGCTCTGCCCCTTACCAGCTGGCTGACCCTGAGGAGGCATCTTAACCTGTGAGCTGCCTCATCTAGAATGTAGCCATAATGAGGTTCTTACAGCTCAAGACCTGCAGCTGCATGGAAAATAAGCAGGGAACCACAGAATGGGGTAGAATTTGGAGTCACTCCTGGTGTCAAATCCTGGCCCTGCCTCTTACTGCTGTCTTTGGGCAAGTCACTTCACTCTCGACTTTAGCTTTCTCGTCTTTAAAATGGGAGTAATATGACTCACCTGGTTAGCTGCACTGCTTAAAAGTAGTTCTGTTTGTAGCCGAGCACAGTGGCTCACACCTGTATTATCCCGGCGCTTTGGGAGGCCGAGGCAGGCAGATCGTTTGAGCTCAGGAGTTCGAGCCTGGCCAACATGGTGAAACCCCATCTCTACAAAAAATATAAAAATTAGCCAGGCACAGTGGCTCACACCTGTGGTCCCAGCTCCTTGAGGAGCTGAGACAGGAGAATCACGTGAGCTGGGTAGGGCTGAGGTTGCAGTGAGCCAAGATCATGCCACTGCACTCCAGTCTGGGTAACAA